ATCTGTGTGTTAGCCGTATCCTGACTTAGATCAGCCCAGAGGTTGTTTCAGGGTTTGATCTGTGTGTTAGCCGTATCCTGACATTGATCAGCCCAGAGGTTGTTTCAGGGTTTGATCTGTGTGTTAGCCGTATCCTGACTTAGATCAGCCAAGAGGTTGTTTCAGGGTTCGATCTTTGAGTTAGCCATGCCCTGAGTTAGATCAGCCCATAGGTTGTTTCAGGGTTTGATCTTTGAGTTAGCCATACCCTGACTTAGATCAGCCCAGAGGTTGTTTCAGGGTTTGATCTGTGCGTTAGCCATACCCTGACTTAGATCAGCCCAGAGGTTGCTTCAGGGTTTGATCTGTGAGTTAACATTGACTTTGATCAGTTTCGAGGTTGTTGAAGGTTTGGTACTGAGTTATGTCAAGAAACTATGAAGTAACACTTATTTTTCCTTTTTATTTCTATTAATATTTATTCATATCAATTCGTAACTACACTACAATGGTTTTTGTAGGATTTCAAGTTTTATTATCCTTTTTAGCTTTAGAAAATAATAAAGACTAGTATTAAGGACAAGACACTATGGAAATCCTTTAAAAGACTCGAGGGACATATCCCAGAAGAATAGTAGTGTGTGTATCATAAGAAACGCACCTCACGTACTGTCCTTACTCCAAAATACTTGTATTACGGGGGGCGGGATTTCTAGCAAAATTATAGGCTTAAGCTAAAATGGCTAAAATCGGAAAGTAAAGGTATTGACGTCATATGGCAAGTTCCCAATTATTCTAATCTTTAACAACTTCCGAAGCACACAAAAGAAACTGGAAATTTTTTCAATTGCGCTTTAAGTGATTGCGGAAAAGTGGAATACGAAGGTAGTGAAGTACGACGAAAACATTCCAACGTGTTTTCAATTAGCTAAATAGCAAGGTATTGTCATGCAAATATCTATTGTTTTAAGACAATTTCAGGTTTGAACAGAAAAGATGTCCAAAGAATACTTGTTGTAGATCTGTTTATACTTGATGGTGTACTCGGGGTTTTTTTGTGTAACCCGTCATTTTCGAAACAAAAGCACACGTCAAGCCTAGAGTATCACATTACGAGGACATTAATCTATGGGAAAAGTCTACAGCTAACAGTGCCTTGAAGTGTTGACAGGCAAAGGTTATGTACATGAGCTCCAGTCTAGTTATTACTATTGTACATTAATTTAACTTCATTTGGCGCCAGACATGTTGAAGTTCGCAGTCAAGAAGAGTGCTAAAAACATTTTCCACGACGCAGTTTCAAACAAAGACTTATCAAGACTGAAATTTATACTCCAAAATAATCAAAAAGGATTCAATATTGACGAGCTTGATGAAGATGGTCTGACTGCTTTACAACGAAGTTGTTTCATCGGCAACTTAAAACTTGTCCAGCTCCTAGTAAATTATGGTGCGAATATTGATATTCAGGATAGGGAAGGTTGGAGCGTCTTACATGCATCAGCAGTGGCAGGGAATTCATCGATTCTTAGATATCTCGTGTGTATGGGAGCTGATGTAACTACTCGTAATGATTTTGGTGAACTAGCAATCGATCTCGCGAGCGATCTTGACTGCGTTATCATATTAGCTGAAGCTATGATATCAGCTGGCCACAGGGAGTTAATAGACGGCTATTTCGCTAAACAACCCTCGTTGAAAGCATTAATTGAAGATAGATTAAGAGAGATTTCTAAAAAGCCTAATGAATTATCAGAACAAGAATACTCGTCAGAAGGAAGCAAGAATCGAAGTGGGGAAAGATTTAAAAAGAATTATTCCAAAACGCTTGAATCACGAAAGGAATCGACCAGCGTGAACACTAGTGAAAGCCGTAGACAACCACTTGGGAATATATCCAACACGTCTACCAACAAAGAAGAGGGACTTCACATAATTGAAAGAGGTGGGCAACCGGAAGAAGGCAGGACTGGAAGAGATAAGTACAACACTAGAATTAAAAGAGTTGAGTGTAAGAAGTGTCATGGAAAAAAACGTTTGTCAACTTCTTCCAGTTGTTCCGTTTCATCGGATTCTTCAAGCTCGAGTTCGTCTGATTCAGCATACGTTTCCTCCTTATCACTTGTAACTGAAGGTCTTCCTACCCAGATTGAAGAGCCTACGAAAAATGAGACTTATTCACATGATGATGATGTTATAAATCCGGTATTTGATTCTGTCCTGCCAAAACAGAACTCGACCCCGGAAAATACAAAACACAGAGTTCACAACTGTAGAAAACATGAAAAGCGCAATAAATCTAGAAGCAACTCATCACCTGCGTCTGTATCGACCTCGAAACGACATCGTATCTTGAGTAAAATTAAAGAACACTCTAATGTTAATGCTCTTAATGAGTCAGGTTTATCTCTGCTTCATGTAATGGCAAGACAAGGCGATGCTGAAAGCGTAAAGATTCTCCTTGAGAACGGTGCAGAGGTTAACCGACAGGCGCTTAATGGAAGCACACCATTACATGAAGCGGCACAGAGTGGGAGCTTGGATTGTATTTTAATGCTATTAAGCTATGAAGCTGATCTTTTCGCGGAAAATGACAATGGATTCTTACCGATAGACAAGGCAAAAAACAAGGATGTCAAATTGTCACTGCACAAGGCAATGGCAATGAAATGACAACGCATTTATTCATACTAAAAATCGCTCTGTAGATTTTTAAACTGACATATATACACATGAATATATTTTCCACAATATTCGAATTTTTAAAGTAAAACTTTGCTGTAATTTCCAAAGTTTCAAACATATTTACATTTTAATAGATATAGAATTATCAATGACACATTTCGGATTATTTTATTTATTCCGGAGATTTCAGGTCTCTTTCTTCAAACCAGTTGATGCGGAAGACTGCGTTGTTCTTGTAACTGTCAATTAAGTTCGTTGTAAACATCTCTGATAGCTGAAAATACTTGTGCTGCATCCCTATTGTATTCCTTTGCTGAAATCTTTCAGATGGTCGATGTACATATATATATTTGAACTTTCGCATTCAAATTTATCGAAGGCTTAAAGTATATTTTATATACATATTCATAGCATATACCAAGTATAAAAGATCCTTTTGAAACTTTTTTCAAGATTGTAAAACTTAGTAAAAAATCTCTCTAACCCTAAAATATAATAATTTTACGACTCTTAAATACTGCTTTTAAAAAAAATTATCTTAAGCAATTGTTTTCTAAGATTTCAGACATTAATTTTGCTGTCTCATAGCGTGGGAACATTTTGTTGGCTTTTTCACCCCATTGTGAAGATAAACAAATTCGCTTAATAAAAACGTCGGATCCCTCTTTCCCATTCTGTTTACACATTCAATTTCATTATCACCAATAAGTAAAACTCTATTGACTATGAAAACGATTAAAAATCCATTGAAAATTGTCTAACGCAAGCTTTAATAGAACCGACTGAATGAAAACTGCTAAGCGACTTATGCCTCAGAGCCTGACGGCGCCTTTGTACATGCTTTGTTCATCCATTGTTTCTGCGGTTTTACGAACAGTTTGAAGATTCAATGATGGAAATTTATGTCAAAATATAAAATTAGGATGTTGAGAAAGTAAATACAGCAGTTGTAGAAGATTTTCTAGCTATGTAAAGCGCTAGTTTTCGAGGTTTCTTGGAGTTTCATCGATGGCGGTGTACTTTCCTTATTGCTTGTTTAACGGTCAAAGCCGCTTCTCTGGAAGCAAACTCATAAATATAAGAAAAACAAACTATCTGGTCCTGAAGTTGTAATTAAACCGGGAATTGAAATTAAAGATGTCTGGGATTGCAATTTTTTGGCATAACGTTTTTAAAAAGTTACAAATTTATATCTGGCACATTACTGGATTTCAGGATTGAACCATTTTCAAGTGTAGACTTTACATTTGCGTAGAAGATATGAAAACCAGACGTTAGATAAACCTTTTTGACCTGACTTGACGCTTTTAACTCTATTTATCAATCATTCAATTCAATGCTGGTGATAATTTTCTTTTTTACCTATTAAAAAACAAGAACTGATATAGGAGGGAAAGATTTTTCTAGATTTTACTTCACTGGATATGAAAGTTAGTTTTTATTGCTTGGTTTTATAGGTTGTATTTATCTAATGAGAAAAGCGTGTGTGGTCTACGAGTCTGAATGATGCAAAACAGATAGTCGAGAATCCCAGCATTCCAGAGTTATCTCAGTACAGATTTTGAGTGAAAATAAACAATTATGAGGTCAAATGAATGATAATAATAATAATTTTCAAGTATCATATAATATCTACATTTATTCCAATCTATATCTATATTTTTCTATATTTATTTCTATATCTATTCCAAGTAAACTAAGAGAAAAGATATAAACAAAACGTTGATAAGAAGCAAAAAATGCTTAGGAAGCCATTTTACTGCACACATGGGCTCGAGACACTGAAATGGTTTTTCTATTACCATGGAAACCGACGTCTAATATTTTATTTAATAGTGACTTTTATGACCTTTACGCTTGAACAGGAATCTATTCGATTTTGTAACAGTAAAACGTGCTAAAACCAAGCTAATTGTAACCTTTCAAGCTTGTCTGTTGAAACTTGCCCGCTTAGATAAAATTTCCCTCCAAAGCAGATAGCTTAATAATGCCGGGAAAAGGTTGATTTTCTTAATTAAGGTTTTCTCGTTTTCATTTATTTTTGTTTATTTTTTGTTAGCTGAAGGTATATTAGCATTGATAGTCTTTTTCTGTGCTCCTACTTCCGTTCCGAGGTTGAGGGGAAAAAATGGTCGAGTTGGCATTACAATGCGTTGTGGGACTGTTTTAGAAGATACAGTCCTTTGACTAAACGTTGTCGTTGATCGGATCATCCCTACGCGCCTAGACCGAAAAGGAAAACGGGTAAATTACACAGAACTTACGTCATCCAAACTGCTCGCCAGTTTAAATCTTCGCCGTATGCTCGAGGCATGGTTTCAGCAAATTAAATGGGATCGAAAAAAGCAAGCTCAAGACTTATTAGATAACATATGCGGCAGCTAGTAACTGTGAATTAATTATCCCCATGATCCTTTTCAGTCTAGGCGCGTAGAGATGAAGCCGATCAAACGGCAACGTTTAGTCATAGGACTGTATATTTGTTTCAAGAAAGTGCCTTTCGTCCACTAACACATACCCGTAATGCACGGTAATGCCGAATAGACCAAGTTTTTTCCTCCTATTTGGACCTTTTTTAAAATTTCAAAGTTAACTTTTCGCGAAAATCTGCCAACGAAGCGCTTTAAGGTTTTTTTAGCGTCATGCAAGCATGGCAAGTGTTTTCTGTACATTTTTATTTCAAAAATATTATAATTTTAGAAATTAGAGTTATTTATTTCCAGGTGGCACCTGGAATCGCTTTCCACTTAAGCCGATCACTTCCTAGGATAAAGAATTGAACATAAGTCAACTCATACCTGTGGTATCTGAATTATCTATTTCCTTTCTTCCACCTCGAAGCTATTTTGAAATCACGAGTATCGATCGCATCAATGATAACACAGGAGATATGACTGAACGCGTTTAGATATTATCATGCGATGAGGTGATTCTATTAATGTTATGACTAGGTAGTAGAACCTATATTTATCGGTCATCTATAGAAATATCGACCTCTATTTATCGGCTATCTATTTAAATATCAACCTCTATTTATCGGCCATCTATTTAAATATCGACCTCTATTTATCGGCCCCATATTGAAAAATCGACCTCTGTTTATCGGCCACCTATTGAAAAATCGACCTCTATTTATCGGCCACCTATTGAAAAATCGACCACTATTTATCGGCCACCTATTGAAATATCGACCTCTATTTAGCGGCCACCTATTGAAATATCGACCTCTATTTAGCGGCCACCTATTGAAATATCGACCTCTATNCCACCTATTGAAATATCGACCTCTATTTAGCGGCCACCTATTGAAATATCGACCTCTATTTAGCGGCCACCTATTGAAATATCGACCTCTATTTATCGGCCAACTATTGAAATATCGACCTCTATTTATCGGCCACCTATTGAAATATCGACGTCTATTTATCGGCCACTCATTAAAATATCGACCTCTATTTTTCGGCCACCTATTGAAATATCGACCTCTATTTATCGGCCACCTATTGAAATATCGATATACAGAGGCCAACGGAAAAATAACTTATGCTCGCAAGGTACCTCTAAAAGTGAAATCCTGGATTTTTTCATCAAATATCTTCAAAATTAAGATTCCACTCACAGAATATAATGTAATAAATGTTTACTAAACAATGAATACATATATACACTTATTTCAATAAAGTTAGTCACCTGAAAAGCTATAAAGCTGAGGCCGACAAGGATTATGGGTAGATTCATTTTACACGTTCAACCGCTTGATAACTGTTCATGGACTTGCGAATCTTTTACCGGTTACAGTCTCGCCTCTTCTGAGCATCATCGAGCTGCAGTTTGTATTAAAAAAGCTTTGTATATATATGCTTTTTTGATATGGAAAGTTTTCTAGGTTTTTGGTGACTAACTTTATTGAAATAAGTGCATAAAAAGTAGCTAATAGTCACAACACACAAGCATCTCAACAACAGGCCCGTAGCTAGGGGGGTGCAGGGCTAAAGGTCCGCTTTTTAAGCAAGTGAGATTTTGGCTGGTATGATATTTTCACGTAAAACTAAGTAAAAAAAATCAATTTTACTTTAATAATTTATCTATACCTATGCGTCCTATGGGACTTTTAAAAAATAAAGTATATGGTTGGTCCACTTTTTGTAAATTAGCAACCCCCCAACAAAAATCCTAGCTACGGGCCTGAACAAGTTTCTGAGAGGGAAGGGGAAGGGGTATTTACTGGTATTTACACCAGTCCCATATCAATATAATATATATCATGTATTGTTTTAACCATGTCCCTAGCTGACAGTCTAATTTTAAACGTATGAATTTTGAATTATATTGCACCATTGATAATTAGGCTTAAGGTATAAGAGAAAAAAATTTCTTATTGATTTTTTATATAGTACTTTTATTAATTTATATTTAATTAAAAAATAATCAACATTTTTATTTATCGTGTTTCGTTGAATTTTTTCCTTTTCTTTTTTCTTTTTTCTTCAAAGGGTGTCTATCACCTCATATATGCTTTCCTTGAACATTGTTGAATATTTTGTATGCTTTCCTTGAACATAATTAAATATTTTGTATTTTCAATTACAAATATGTTTTAGCTTTACTTTCGCTGTTGCCTTTCATCAAGTGATTCATTTGGTTTTAATCTTTTCTCTCATTACAGACCACAGAAAACGGGTCATTCTCTTTAGAATTATTTTTTTTGTTTAAGTTGTATCTATATTAATGGGTCTTCTTATGCGCAACCGTTAAACAAAGAAATGATACTCTAGGGAATGACACGTGGTCTGAAATGGGAAAAAGAGGTCTATAGACCCCTTGCATGTGACGTCAAAGCAGTTCGATCTGGGGGACAAAACAAAAGAATTCCATTCTCCTGAGAATAGGCCCTTTGCAGTTAACGGTCACGTGTCTTTACTGCTAAGCAATTTTTTTTATTTTATTTTAAATTGGTGATTCTTTTTAGCTACTTGTAAAGAACTGAATGAAACGATGTGTAACCAGTGTGTTATGAAATGCAGTTTTATTACGATCTCTCGAAACAGGTTGTAGAAAGTGTGTTTTGCTCACCAGTATATTTCATCCATGGGATTCAAGATGTTCATTCATTTGCTCTCAGTGAATTAATCAGCACGTGATTACTGAGCTGCAAAGGGCCTATTGGAACCTACTGCTTTGTCCCCCAGATTGAGCTGCATTCCAACGGACTGCAAGGGGCCTACTGCTGGCACCATTAGAATTCTATTAATGATTATTTGTTTCATTTTTTCTCGTTTTCATAGTCAACAGAACTAAACCATATACTCTTTTTAAGATACGTATCAGGATAAGGTGCTGTGATCCAGTTATTAGCGATCCATTTAATTCCCTGGTTTACACTACAGCCACCGTGTAAACTGTAGTCGTCCATAGCTCCCATCCATCCACTCTTCTCGTCTCTCAGATGGTTGTACCACACCACAGCGAGACCTTTCTTGGGTTTGATCACCAGGTTACTGTTCTTGCAGTTCTCGTTCAGGTTGTAGTGGTCGTATTCGGCACGTGACATTTCCATGTACTGCAATAGGATAAATAATTATTAGAAATATTACCTACGTACGCCTGAAATGGAGATATTTGACTTAAAGTAGAAAATACCCCTCAGAACCAATTAGATTAACCCACTAAGTTTGCCATTTATACCATCATGTCTGCCATATTTCTTTTGCTAACTAATTCCCTGGGGTATGATTGTAAGCCGTCTATTTTCCATCCGAAGTTGAGGAAGAACTAGGTCGCGTTGGGCATTGCAGCATACAGTACCTCTTGGGACTGTTTACGAAATACACGCCATCCTGGAAATATGTTCCTAAAACATTCCCACACTGAATTATACACTGCAAAGCCAACTCGATCCAGTTTTTCCTCGGAATGGCTAATAGTGAAAAGAGTGATGCAATGGTAATGTTACGCGTGTTAGCTTAAAAATAGAACTGGAAAACCTCACAACGACAATAAGCATATGGAATGACAGTATTCAGCCTGGACCAACCAATCAGAGTTTGTGTTGTTATTGATTATTCAACTAACAAGCTACAACACGCGCCATTACGATCTCGGTACAACACGTCTGTACCATTAAAATGATTCCTAATCACCAAGATCTAGCAGTTACTAACGCGTATGTCAAGATTTGTCCAGACCTTTAGAGGGGGGATGAGAATGTACTGATACACTACCCCCTCTACGTGCAAAGAGCCTGGGCAAACAAACTGAGGACATACCGTTCTGTTGAGTGTTGCGTTGTCTGCCACAGGGAAAGCAGTCTCTCCTCCGTCCTTCACATCATTCAAATAATACAGTATCGTGATGTATCTATGACAAACCAGGCCAATAAAGAACATAATATACATTGTTGGATGATTATTGAAGAAATAGAAAACGCGCGTGCGTTCTGTGTGCAGTTGTGGTTCTCCTAATTACACGGCACGATTTGCCGCGCGCGACTTGACGTATACGGCARATTTTGGTACCATTTACACGAGCACAACTTGTCGCACGCGGCACGAAAAAAACGCGAGCAATTTACTCGTCATTACAGCAAATGTTTCTTGTAAAATGCCACCATACACAGTTGAGAAGTGCAGTAAATAATCATGTCTACCTTGTTATTTGATGAGATCATTCAGAATTTTTGCACTTCGTGTTTAATTACCGGTAAAAACGTTTTCATGGAAATCCGCCATTTTGTTTTGGAATCAACTAGTTTCAGTCCCAATCTCGGTCAAAATCGTCATATTTGCGTCATTTTCCCACGGCATGTCGTAGGGTTTTAAGCCAAAGTTTAAAATGCTACGACAAGTCTTGAGGCCGCGTACGTCTGTCGTAGGACCATTTACACGACCCGATTTTGAGCTGATTTTGCCGTATACGTCAAGTCGCGCGCGGCAAATCGTGCCGTGTAAATAGGCCTTTAACACTTCTCTCGTGTTCTGCCAATCCCCAAGTGCTTTATAACTCCACACAGCACAGCAAGCAAGCTTTGCGTGCTGTATGATCTCATAAAGCACGTGCTCCCAACCAATCAGAATGCGAGATTTGTAACAGTTATTTTATAAATTCTGTTAAAAATTCTCTCCAACTACTTTAGATTCTACCACAATCCAGGGGATGAAGAGCCCTCACTCATGAACCGTGCACTGTTAGTATCCCTCATTATATGTTTTAGTATCGTGTCGAGTCTGAACTTGACGCTTGCACTGTGGAAAACAAGTTTATAAAGGAGTAGCTTGAATACCATCCACCGCTGTCCCATGGAGCGATGTTTAACATTGTTTAACTTAATACGCCTTACAGAAGCACGATATCTTTTAACCAATCAAAAACAAGTAAATACTATCCAATCACACTTAGGCATAGTCATTTTGAGAAGAAAAAAGGATCTCTAATTACCACCGCAAAGTATAACAGTGGCACACCTCAACGGGGTCTAACTGAAAGCATGTGAAGGCGCCTCTGACAGCCACTATACAGTCCATGTATGACCCCGGAATGGAACAACTCTGGAACAGTGGACTCCGGACTGACAAAATTCTGTGGATTCCAGTATCCAAATTCCCATGAACAGAAAAAAATGTGAAAAAAATGTAACGATTTCTGATTCTAATACCTGCAGAGTCGACAAGGATTTTGAAAACTAAAGATTTTGCTAATATCTTCCACTTGATGACAGCAAGGAGCGTCTGTTCTCGTGTGGGTTTCTGAGTCGTAGTGAGCGTGGTAATGCCCTTGCGCTGCGTACCGTACAACCTGGGGGAAAAATAGAAAGTATGCATTGAACAGGATGAACTCTCGTTGATTGCATACACAAAAGGAGAAATCGATTGAAAATTTACAGAAGAGTGCGATATGGACGTCATAAAGAAAGCATGAAAATAAGAGCTGTCATGTTAGAAGAAAAGGAGAGAAAGAAGACCAAGAAATGCGTGGGAAAGAAGTCGACATTGCGGTGTAAAGCTGTGAAGCCTGAAGAAGATCATGTTTGGCATTGTAAGTAAACGAGGGTTGCGAGAGACAGGATAACGTGGCTGAAGTGCGTACTTGCGTTGGTAAAAAGTGAATTCGAAGGGGACCATTTTTTGAAATCGCAATAAAGGATGTTGCCAAAGAGAGCTTGCACAACGTATAGTAGTGGTACCAGTATTGGGAGAAGGAGACAGCTTTTCGTTATCGTGAAAGGGTTACTACACGTGGTGTGATGTGCTGAAGAGGAAGGACACTACGAGAGACATGAGAAGGTGGACAAATAGGTAAGGGAAAAAATAACCAGGGGTAGGTCTTACTTAGTATATATTATTATATATTGTAGCGTAATATTAACTATATTCACAAGATATATTTAACAATTATTCGCTGAAGGCAAGGCAAATATCGGGGAATATTTACCGAGATGCGAGTCTTTTTTAACACAAGTGAATATACTAAATAATAGAAAGAGAGTTTAGTTTATTTTTTCCCCAATTTCATTTATCTCTGCAAACGGCACAAATCGACAAGCAAGCGTGCGTGTGCGCGCTATATTCACTTGTAGAAGACGTAAATTGTGATGAATGAGCGCGCCGGATTTATTATATTCACTTGTGTAAAAATACTAATAGCATACATCATCGTACCTGGATTCTCTCACTGCCATATATAATTTCTTTACTAAGCCCAGTCAGTTTCAGTATTCTATAATGACAAGACAATGGTTTCAGTATAACTGATTTATAACCGTTCTCACGGGCGTATCCTAGGGTGCCTGTGGCACCTTTTCCCATTCAGTTTTCCAACGGTTACCCCATGCACGTCCCCAAGTCCAACCCTATTCAACGTGTATTCAAACAGCTATTTCAAAAAAGCTTGGTGAAGGTTATGTTGCAGGTTGCTTACTAAGCTCCAAATGTATTTAAAAAATCATATATAAATAATATTAACACTGGAGAAAATATACCCGAAAAACGTGCGCAGACAGTGTTTGGTGAAATTCAATATTTTTGTGGCCAGGGTCGGACAGGAAACGGTTTGGCTCAGAGAAAGACGTACAGTTTAATTCAGGACAATACACCGATCCCGCATTTATTGTTCTACCTCCCTAGTTACTGTTGCTACGCCTCGGACAAGCTAAAATGTGTGTTTGATATACAGCATGAAACAGACACCGAATGCTGAAATTGTGAATGTTTGTCTTAGAATCAATGTATTCTAACGGTACAATAAGAAAAAAATTTGTTAACAACTAAGAAATATCATGAATTTGAGTTTGTTGGTCGGGCATTCTGTATTGGGAAGCACGGGTGGCGTAGCGGTGTGAGCGCTCGCCTTTCATCAATGCGACCCTAGCTCGAGTCCCGCCGGGTTCGGTGTTGTATATGAGTAGAGTTGTTTGTTGGTTCTCTCCTGTGCTTCGAGGGTTTTCCGGATTCTCCGGTTTTCCGCCCGTCGCAAAAATCAACTCCTAAATTCCAATTCGATCACGGAATGAGGGCCACAGTTTTGTTAGCCACTGGATATTATGTGCTACCCTCGTGAAAAAAAAGACGGTATTTCACTGGGAAAACTACCCATTGTTTGGTTGGACGACACTCAAGGATAGCCGAGATCGGTCTATACCTTTACCAACATTTTTTTGAAATAGCCGTATACCTTTCCTGCAGAGCATTCAGCACAGGATCATGTTTGTCTTTTCTCTGGTCAATCCAAGTCTGCTCACTGTATCGATGTCTGTGTTTCGGGTGAGTAAGACCAGTTACGTGCATGATCCCATCAATACCATGTGTATTTAGTGTCTGGAATTCTTCAAACGTAATTTTCCCTGAAATTTGAGAAATTTGAGTTCTACTTTAGTAACCGGTCTAATATAAACCTATTTCAAAAAACGTTGTCATCGCCAAAGGTAAAAGGCGATAGGCCATTCCGAGATGGAAATTGTTTCGTCGACTACAAACAACATCTAATCAGTCTTAACACTAAGGTCCATGTTCTTCACGAGAATAAGAAGCAGAAACACAAGTTATTCCAGCTATTCTTGGATCTTGGAATGACCTATCTCCTATAGCTTTTCGCCTATGTCCTATTGCCCATCGCCTGTGGTAATGACAACGTTTTTTAAAATAGGTGTATGTCTTAGAGTGCATCAGTGACATGCGCAGGCCCTGCTTCTCGGAAGGCATTATTCGCAGTACCGTTCCTTGCAGTAGAGTAACAAGTGCTCCAGGATTGTGGAGAGATAACACAATACTCATGCTCCATTTTCGAATTTTCTGTTGCTCAGGATTAACCCTGAGGAATTTAGTGTTTGTATTTTATTGTACTGAATATATGTCAAGGAACAAAGCGGTATTATTCAAATTCGAAAAAGTGGTATTCTCAGTAAGGAGAAGAAAGGTGTTGCTTACCATCGTCCATTTCTGACACATTTATTATATGTAACCTATAAAAGACAAGATGTAAAAAAATACCATCATCAATGATCATAACCATCATCATCATCATCATCGTCATCATCGTCACCATCATCAACATCATCATCACTGATCATAACCATCATCATCATCAACATCACTGATCATCACCATCATCATCATCATCATCGTCACCATCATCAACATCATCATCACTGATCATAACCATCATCATCATCAACATCACTGATCATCACCATCATCATCATCATCATCATCGTCACCATCATCAACATCATCATCACTGATCATAACCATCATCATCATCATCATCAATAACATCACTGATCATCATCACTGATCATATCATCATCATCGATTAACAACAACATCATAAACATTATCACCACCACCACCACCATCATAATCATCATTAAATAGTACTAGATAGAGTAAAAGCTGGATCTACTCTTTGTTAAACGTAGTTTCTCCCGTACCTCATTCCTGGATGAACAATCTGTTTGGTCCCTATTTGAACCAGAAGTCCCACGCAAGAGCTTCCCTATCATAGCCTTGCGCATTTAAAAAACATATCGATAATACTGGAGCCGGTTGCACGAAGGCTGGATCAAGTTATCCATCGGATAAAAGTATCCAGTATATAGAATGTGTATAGGTTTTATCCGCTAGATAAGGATTTACCCGATGGACAGCCCCATTCAGCTGCTACTTACATGTCTAGGATCTCCTTTTTGCTGACTACAAGGAAATGATGCTTTTTAGCAAACAGCGCAACCTGAATAAGAAGATGATATATGAACACGTTTAGGTCTGTCCTTTAATTGGTGGGTTGTACTCCCTCCTCAAAACCCTTAATACAGAGTTAGTCGTGCCTTGACTTTGATCAGCCCAGAGATTGTCTTAAGGTTCGATCTGTGAGTCAGCCATTGGTGCCCTGACTTAAATCAGCCCAGAGGTTGTCCTAAGGCTCGATTTGTGAGTTAGCCGTAAGTGCCCTGATTTAAATCAGCCCAGAGGTTGTTTCAGGGTTCAATGGAGTTAGCCGTGCTCTGACTTTAATCAGCCAAGACAAGGGGTTTCATGGTATGGATAAAGGTTTTGATACTAAAACTGACAAAGCTGAAATGTTTGGGTGTATTTCTTATATTGATTTATCCGTAAGAACAAGCTTCTTCTCAAGCTCATAAATAAGGAAATAATACTCAAGGAAACGAAATGTGTAAACTATAGGTTTATTGGCCCAAATTGGCCCAGGATTACCGAGACTAAGTGTGGACGTACTCTAATCAAGTGCTAAGATAGCATTGAGAGTTATACTATACCGACCTCAGCAAGTGTGATGATCCCATCGTGATTGTCATCCCATTCGTAAAAACGTCCCGCAGGACCACTTGACTTGCCGTCTGATGGAAATAACATGATAAAGAACAAGATGCCTTATAAATGTGCGCGCTGTCGGTGCAACAAGGTAGAAAGCAGCTACTTTGTAGTCAACGAAGCACGACCTTGTTCGTTTTACTTGCTAGAATTTTAAGTAAAGTGAGTAGTATGTATGGTTTGCACTATATACACCGCATTTTTGGCGCTACTAGAGGATCTTCCAACTCACATTTTTAGTTGAAATGCTTGACATGCAAGTAGAGCTACAATACTCACTTTCTATCTGGGGTATCACTGTATCTTCTAGTTTGGTCAAACCACCTCTTGCCATACTGTTGAGCATTTTTTGTTTCTCAGCAAGATTGACGATGTGGTCACATTCTTCATCAGAGAGAAAGTTCGGAATCTCTGCGAAATGAAGAAGAAAAACCGCATTGAATTGACGATAAATGGGGGAATCCCGACTGTACTTAGAGCGCCTTTTGTTCAACTCACCAAAGATTGGTGGCTTCATGGCACGTGTGATCATTTTGACCGTCTTATCGCCCAAGTCCTTCTCTATCACATGACCAACCTAAAAGTATATAAAATTATTGATCTTCAACCGTACCACTCCTTTTTTAATCTTTATTTTACGAGGATAACCTAATTCCCCTCAGTAGTCTAAGTTATGGCCCTCGGCATAACATCTTATTTTCAAGTAAGAGTATGACACGTGATCTGGAATGAGAAAACATTTATAATAAAGTTTATTAGAATCATAACAAGTTGATTTGTTTTGTATAGAGGGACGAAAACCGCATGCAAAGCGCGGACCTCAATCACTGCAATCTTTTATCTTAATATTTTAAAAATATTCTAAAATTTTCTGGTTGAAATTGATAAAGATCATCCTTGCGCATACATCGATACATCGATGAGTCAACTGACCTATACTTCTATGTTGGTTGTATCCTGCTAATACTTGTATTATTCATCTTATTGTCTTCTGTACTGATGATGTAGCTGTTTGCAACCTTGATTTTAAGACAGAAAAGCGCGCTTCACATTGTCATTACCAATATATTGTTTGTTCTTCTCTGCGCAGTTCGATACCGGTAAACTGGACTAAATCACAGCATGTTAAGCTGATCAAGCCAAGAAATGGTGCAGAGCAACAAATAACAGCGACACAAGTCAAACACGCTTAAGAAAACAATCAACACGATCAGGGTATGTTTTGAGTCAGTAAATTTTCTACCCTATTAAAATTCTTTAAAATCTTATTAAGAAACTATAGATAATGTATTTGGATTGAAAATCATTTGTATTGGTAAAATTATGACTTAGTTAATCCCTCATCTATTGAATTCGGGAATTTATTCCTGCGACCGCTGTACAATTATGATCGCCCTAATCCACTGATCGCATGCAAAAAAAAAAAAAGAAAGAAAGAAAGAAAGAAAACGCTGTCGGAATATGTCCGGGCTTTATGTGATTGGCTGATTTAAAACTAACTTTAAAAATGATTATAGAAATTGAAAAAAATAAGGATGATTTACCTTCACTCCGTCGAGTCTTGTCAGCCCTTCAGTGAGGCCTATCAAACAAGGACCATCCTCGTATGCGTCCTCCCCGTCCCCTACAGCCTTCCCCTCACTGTGGCTTCTCAATTCAAAATGCTCAGTCGATTCTGAACTGCTACATTGGATAATATAAGCTAAAGAAGCTAAAATTCCGCAAATTCTAAGCCATTTTCTAGCCGTTTCTGCCATATTTTGTTTAGTATGGTGACCGGTAAATTGATAAACGGTCTATAATTTAGTTGTCGGTACCAACACGATGTACCTAAATAATAAATGAGTGTTGTTCGTGATTTATAACATGTCTTTCGTAAAACAAACGTTTCCTTGCTTAAAAATATCTTGGAATTTTGTAGATTGTTCGAGTTTTTAGCTCGTTGGGGTTTGACTTAGTCGTACATCTTTTTTTGGGAGTTTTGTTGTTGATATTTTGTCGTATCTATTTTGTTATCGTTTCTGGTATTTGCTGGTGTTTTTATGTCACGGGTGTTGATATTTCGGTTCGAGTGACGAGAAACTAGGAAGATAATATTAAGATAATAAGATAATATTATACTATTTCTTATTCGCTTAAGTTATTCTTTTGTTCAACTGGCGACGAGGATTGTCATCGGAGAGAGAGATTTTGATGTGTTTGAAGAGACTAGATGAAATGCTTGAATAGATAAAAGAAAACAAGTGATTGGGGAGATTAGAGAGCGTGGGAAATGAAAGAGAGGGAATATATATAAATGGGGAAGAGAAAGGAAGAAAGAATGGAGAAAGAAAGGAATAATTGAAAGAGGAAAATGTGGGAGAAGGAAAGAAAACATTTAAAGCTATATGAAAAGAAAGAAAAAAAAGAAAAAAAGAAATTAAGGAAGGAAGGAAGAAAAAAGGAAGAAAGAAAAAATAAGCGAATGGATTAATAAACAAATAAATGAAAGAAGAAAGGAAAGAAAGTGGAAAGAGAAGTAAAGGAAAAGGGAAAAACATCAAAGAAATTAAAATTCAGGTAACCAGCGTTCTACTGCATTGTTTGTTCATTGAGATAGCTGCTTTATTGATTTGACAAAAATTAAAATGTCTGAATTCGAAATCTTTCTTTGCATAAATAGGCCTTTTGCAATAAACAGTCACGTGCTGATATATCACAAACTCGTTCCTATATCAACGTGGATAACGAATCAATTCAGCTCAAGGTCCCCTGGGGAGGGCTCTGCTGGATGGCAAACAAACTTTAAACTGCTTCGTACCATGAAATCCAAAGTATCTTATAAGAGGAAAAAGTATTCTTGAAAAGGTTTTTGATACCACATTAGTAATTAATACAGCAACAAATCTTTAAATAAAGGAAGTCCATTTTTTTTTGGTTATCCAGTAAGAATCACGTGTCAATATATTGCAAAACGCCTATTCATTTTCCTCAGTCTTGGTGTCACGCAACTACTGCGTTACTTCCGGGAATATTTTGCATAGATATCGATATTTTGCAAAAGGTCGATTCGTCTTTCTTTCGTCAGCTTTGGCGTCACACAACCATCATGTGTATCAATTGCGTTACTTCTGGGTTTTTTCTCTTAGCATGCTCGACAGTCCCTTTCTATCATTTTCTCTTGATTAGTTTCACTTTCGTCATCTTTGACGTGACACAGCCATCCCGTGTATTACTTTCGTTAATTCCTGCTATCTCATCCATATTGCCATCTGTCAACAACTTCGACATTTCTTTTCTGATGTCCCTTTTCTGTAACGCGTACACTATCGGGTCAATCATCGAATGTCCCTTGAGAAGTAGCCTCGAAATGTGGACAAGATGAGAAGGCACTAAACACGAGGCGTAAACATTACAAATTTCTCGATAGGCTGCTAGGACCCAGCATAATATAAAGACAGGAATCACGGCACAAAAGACTTTGACGGTCGATGTCAAATTATATCGAGCAGTCATTTCCTTCTTGGATTTTCCGTAGAGACTTTTATTTATCTTGCTAATGTTCCTGGAATGTCTCCAACATATTCTGAATATATGTCCATAGACGAACAACATCAACATGCAAGGTGCAATTTCGAAGACGGTGACCTTAATAGCCGATATTACTTTTTCTGCGTTGACATTCTGGTCCTGAGAGAGTTTGAATTCTAGAAGAGCGTGTATCGTTTGGAAAGATGCGGGAATCAACCAGGATGAGATGATGAGGATGATGATTGATTTGCATGTCATGAAATCTTGGTATCGCATGGGGAACACAACCCATAGATATCTATCCATAGTAACGATGCATAGATTACTGACTGATATATGCAACAGCATGTCAAAGATGATGTTACTGATATTCCACTCAGCGTGGCACGGCAACGTGGAATCAAAGAAACAGACAAAAATCCATGGTATCATTATGGTACCGACCGACAAATCAGCCGTCGCTAGGGACAACAGAAGCCAGTTGCTATGGTTTCTGAAGAGTCGTCCTCGCTTGAGGATGATAAAAATCACGAGACTGTTACAGACTAAGGTGACCAGACCGTTGATTCCACTGAAGATCCAGAAGTAAAGCGGCGCAGTGCTTTCGGGAAAGAAGTTGGAATTATGTCCTGCGCTTGTCCTACTGGTGTTGTCCGCTGACCACATTCTGGCGGTTGTGGCTTGGAATAAGAGCTGCAAGAAAAAAAATATGAGATAAGGAAACTTGATATAAAACCTTTTTATGGTAGGTTCTAGATTTTTTGACGGAATTGCCAGTTATATCACCAATGTGACGTCACACATTTTCCAAGATATCTATATCCGAGGATTGATTGCATAAATCATATAAATGTTGAACATCATCCAACATGGTCGCCAATTACATACTCCCTTATTTGGCAATGATTGCGAAATGCGAAATACTTCATGAACATCAACCAACACAGCCGTTGCTTAACGTCCTCAAGACTATACGCCAAATCGAATAACCATTGTTCTAGACTGACTAGCCTCGTTTTCACTTGGAAACACGAAAGCGTTTTCACATGTATGAGAGGCAAATCAATCCAGAACAATAGTTATTCAAATTGGTCGTCATATTTCGATTCAGTGTATCATCGTTCAAAACATTCACTGTTCAAAACGCAAAAAGTTATTTCTAAGAAATTGAAAAAAGCATAGAATGCAGTTGGCTTAACCCATCGACACTCGACTCCATTGGCTGCATGTGTTCACTTTTATAAACTCATATTTGATCATATTGTGATCATCGTATTGTTACATGGAATTCGCCCATTACAAGTAGAAAACATTAACTCGCTTGTTCCAGTTTCTGTCGGCTGCATTTTTTTTCTTTTGCAAGTGGTTTCATTCCGCCCTCACATTTACTGGCATGAGAGATGTGGGATAGGCTCGGAAATCGTATACATAATATATACTTATTGGCATGGGTAAGAGCAAGAGATCCCTCTGACACCCAGAACTATGATAGGATAGAATAGGATAACAATATTGGCCAATGATGTTATTTGTGTCACAGAGCGTTCACTAATGTGATTTCAAGTGAGTTTATTTAATGTGTTTACAGTCGTCTCTCTTGCCACGGTTTTTTTCGCGGGTTCTTCGAATTTTCCTCCCTCCATAAAATTTAACATGATGTGAGTAGTCTTGCATGTTGAATAAGTAACTTTCGTTTAACCAGGGTTGTCCTCTTAGTTCGTAAAACACATTGTGATCAATAAGAGCCCTAAAAGTGAATTCAAAACCAGTGAACTAGAAAAAGTGGATAATATTCCAACTAATTCAACTTGTGTTTACATAGATTCACACTCTTCATGTTAGTGTCATCACTGCCTTTGTCATAATATTTACTCAACATGATAACATTTTTCTTGTTCAACTTCTTTTTGCTTTTAACCGGTTTGCTATTCTGATCTAGTAAATATTAGATCCTATATAATCATTCCGCTGATCCTTTATGATTCTGTTAGCCCAATAATATACGCCGGCAGCCATATTCCTTGGCAACTTTCACGTCATGCAGCTAGTTTAAAGAACCTGATTTGAGTCGGATATAAAGCATTAACAAGTTTACCTAAATGATTAAGAGTACAAAAATTTTGACCTCTTCTTTTGTTATTGAAATAACTTGCCCCGCTAGACTTTGGGACAAAGCTAATCTCTCTCGGAAATTTGTCTCGTCAGTAATGAATGAACACTGTCTTAGCATGACTCCAGAATATTTTATTAACTGATACGGTTACTCTCACGGTAAGACTACCCAGACATCGTCAAAGTCCCTCTTACCCGGCATGAGTCCTGACTACACGCTCCACATTCACCTACAAATCTAATAAGGATCTACGAGCAGGTCCAAAGCCGACGAGAGTAAGCATGGCTAACTACGGCCTTCTGAGTAACAATAAAGCAGTCACGTCTGCTTAATTTTCAATGTAGACGGCCTCAAACGCTTCTTGCAGCTAGTTCTAACATTTAAATTTTTATTTAGCTTACCACGGCGTAAAAACGATTGGGAAACTATTCTATTTCAGTTGTTTTTCGTGTCACTAATTCAATGATCGTAGATGGACCTTCTAGCCAGCTGTGTTCTTTTATAAATACTGCAACGGCGCGATGTCTTAGATGAATTATACTTAAAAGCTTAACGATAAGAAAAAGTGTAGACTGATTACAGCATACTGTACCTTATACAACAGTTTCTGTTATATCAGCTTTGGATATTCCAAGTTGTTAACTGAGCATCAGTTATGTTCACTTTTGGCAACCAATTTACAAGTTACATGCAGCAAAACAGTTACAGATTTTAGTCAAACCATACAACATACAATTCCTCTAGTTCATCAGCGAGGTAACTCGAGGAGAATACAGAAGAAAGACTAGGAAAATAAACTGAGTGAAGGATCTCGAGCCAATCTTGTTGTATTGTTTGTTTTCCATCAATCGAGTAATTACGGTGTGTTTGTTCAGTAAGATTAGGGTGTCATATAACTTGTGACAATAAAGATGTGAAATCTTTATACAAATTAACCCTCCCTGCGTCTAACTAACTAAGGACTATTTTTGCTCATTTTGCCATAGCAAACAAAGTTCGACTCATTTAATGAATTGCCCATGAAAAAGCAAACAGTACAAAATTGGCTGTGGTCAAATTATCCTTCATCCGGGATATCAGGCATACGCGACAAGGTTCCACCTGAGTTTGAATCTGTGATTTAGCCATGTCCTGACTGGGATCGGCCCAGAGGTTGTTTCAGGGTTCAATCTGTGATTTAGCCATGCCCTGACTAGGATCAGCCCAGAGGTTCTTTCAGGATTCAATCTGTGTGATTTAGCCATGCCCTGACTTAGATCAGCCCAGAGGTTGTTTCAGGGTTCAATCTGTGTGAGTTAGCCATGCCCTGACTTAGATCAGCCCAGAGCTTGTTTCACGGTTCAAAAAATGTCTCATTTGCTTTAGTAGCTAGGTTCTAGTTGACGTCCTCAAGCAATTTCATTCAGATACATCTCTTTTATCTTCTTCTTATCTTCTTTCACTTAAGCAGGTAAATATTAAATTTGTTTCGGCCTGTAACACTATTTTCCTTTTTTCTTGCAGGAGAGAGCTGTCTATTTTCGTCGAGTTAAAACCAAGCCCACTCACAATTTTCCCGTCCATTCCATATGCGTTCCTTCATTACCAATTCTAGTGGAGTTCTAGTACTAAAGGCAAGTTGTCAAGATACCTGTCTTCCTTTCATTACAAGGTACACAACTAATTGACAAAAAGAGAACATTTTGTTTGTCCAATAATAAATAATTGATCCAGCACATGTCAATAGTGAGATATCACTGATCAACAAAAGATTTCAACTAGTTTCGTACTGGTAAAAGCAAGTTTGGGAAAATGAGATCCATTCTCTTAATCCTTTTTATTCTCCATGTAGTTATTCGCTGTAGTGGGGAGTTTGTAAGGCCCTGTTTGCCCAAAGACGAGATACAAAATGTCTGCCGCGAACCAGACGACAGATGTCATGATAGACAAATGGCCGAACACAGGCTTGTCAGGATTGACGGTGTGAAGGTAAGTGCACGTGACTTCAAGGAAGTCGTCTATGAATAGTAAAAGACGGTTTTAATTGTAACAGACAATATGTCCCTTCTTGCTTTTCAAGTACAGTTGGAGAAGAGTTGGTCATCATTCCACTACATTCACACACACACACACACAAAAAAACAGAATACGAGGCGACGTCTTTAGGCAGCTGTTGTTGTTTTTTAAACGCTTGCAAAGACTTACAAATTCAAATTTTTTGCCCGATCTTTTAAATTAACTTTGACTATTTTATGGTCTTGAAGATGAAAAACTGATAACCAATATCTAGCAACTTCTTGCAAATACACATTGAAAACATTTTAAAGTGCCATCATTTCATATCGATCTAAGTATATGTATATATAGGTATATATATATACATGCGTTACGTTAAATAACCTTTCTAGAAACCGAGAAAAAAATAATTTAACGATGAATTTTTTTTTCATATTTATCAACGGTTTTAAAAACTGTACCAATTTTTCATTTATATAGGAATTAAAATTAAGATTCACGAAAGAAGGTTTAAAATCATAACTTAATATCAAATAAAAATTTGCATAATCAAGTCATGCAGTCGTACCTGCTTGCTAGCAGCTGAATGTTTGGTGGTGTATTGAAACCTTAATAAAGCGCGTTGTCGTTGCTATGGCAATGCTTTAGAAATGAGCAGGACGTATTCTAGTATGACGTTTACTCTTTACATTTCCTTATTTTTCACTTTTTCTTTCTCGAATAACCGAACCATAACCTAAGCTAACCAAAACTCCTTACATTTTCCCCCTCTTTTCCTCTCCCTTTTCTCTCTCTCTCTCTCTTTATCTATCTTCCTTTCAGTTTTTTGCCTCTTCTTTCTACAAGCTGTAGTATTACGTACATTTGCAATAAAAGACTCCGTTGAACTGCGCCACTGCTTTATTTGCGATGATGATTATCAATAAATAAATCAAATTCTAGAGTCGCTATATAACAGTCGAATTATAAGATGTTGCTCAATGACTATTAATAATTAATAACGTATTGAGTCTTCCACCAACAGTTGCTCAGTTAACATCAAATCGTCGAGAGATTTCTATAACTACCCCCTAGATATTTTATTGAAATGATAATTTAATTTTTTTTTTATTGTTCATTTTCGGTAGGTTGGCCATGTTCAGGAAGTTGAGTTAGAGGAAGGCCGACGGTACACCATGATAACCAAGGCCATGAAGCCTGTCATGTTTGGTAAGTTACTGTGGAAAATATCCCAAATGGGGGAAGGGGGGGGGGGGGGGGGG